ACCCCCTCCTGCGAAAGGCTGCTCACCATAACCACCGCCTCCTGCCCCACTCCATAAGCCGCCCCACTTGGCTCGACGCGTGCAGCCCGCGCCGGAAGCCGCCCCGCGCTGCCCGGCTCCGCCCCCCGCCACGCACTGGGCCAAACCTCAACGCGCTCTGAGTAAATAATTAAAAACAAACCAATATAAACAAATAAATAAATATGATGAAATAAAAAATTAATAAGCACAAATAAATATTTAAATTAATAATAAACCAATAAATAAATAATAGCCCATCTGGATGATTGACGTAGGAGGTACGTAGGAGGTACGTAGGGGGTAACCAGCCCTAGGAAAATAATAAACAAATAAAAATTTTGGAAATAGACCAAGTAGTAAAAAACGAAGAATGGATAACTGAAATTAGCACGTGGTTCCAAGCGTGTCTTGAAAGGAGAATAACAATAATTAGGGTATGTGTGGCATAACAAATATTTCCTGATCCTCAGTCTTGTGAAATGCAGAATTTGGGTATTGTAATGATGAGGTAGAAATGTCATAATTTAGGTACAAATTATTGTATAGGTTTCACAAGTGACTAATGTTTTAGAGTAGTTATGAATATTGGCATAGTATTAGTATTCATGAAGAATGGTTGGGTAATATAAAGAATTTAACATTTTTTGGCCTCAACATCATTTAAAAAGTAGATACCGGTCTGGCAACCAATCAGTCTATCCTCGCAACCGTAGTCAAGCAAAACAAGAATTTTTCGATATCTGATTTAAAATGTGGTATTTATTTCCTAACCAATTGTGCTCGTGTAAGTTTTAAAGACCAGGTCATATATGTGGTAGGGACTGTGAGAGTGTTACTGGCACAAAATAATGTGTATCTCCTTGCAACCTGCACCAATCGAAATGAATTTGAAATGACACCAATAGACGTTACATCTAACGTTTATACCGAATTAAATATCGAAGGGTTAATTTATTGTTTCATACAGCTGTCATCGTAAAAATCAATTTTTCTTTCTCAGGGAGCCACAAAATGGATTTTTCTATCGAAATCTCGACATCAAATATTTGGTCCGATTTCAATCATTTTCGTCTACAGTCGAAAAAATGTAAAATTATTTTAAAATAATATGTTTAGCGACGAACAATCTATTTATTTGAAATGACATTGAACAGCATGCCCTGCCACAACATCTAAGCTCGAAAGTTTATTTAGCGTTAAAAACGTTCACTCTCGCACTCATTAACATACATTTTTTACAAAATTATCAGACCCTAAAGTAAATATTGCAGAAAGAAACATTTATGTCTTCTCGACCCCCTCAATGATTTGCTTTTTTCTGGAATATATTAAGAGATATTGTGTTTTATCAAAAACACAAAGTAATTTTTTCACGTTTTCTCATTTTTCGACTCCTCGTATTAGTTTCACTGAAATAAGATTTTCAGATTATTATAGAAGGGCCCCTTTTTATGTGGAAATTTTCGGGATACAATTTGGAACTGTATTTTACAAAATGTCGTTTGACTGATTCAAAAGATACGCAACTTTCGAGCTTATTCACACTTGACTTCACGACCAGGGCTTTCACCTTAGGACCCCCGGATATAGTTGCTCCAAACAGCGGTAATGCAGACTCTGAGCGTACGAGAGATTTAATATTTGGTATAAATTCATTAATTATCCTTCCTCAAAATTATGGAAATGAAGTATTGCAGAGTATACTGATAACAGTTCGTGTTAATATTCTAGCCAGACTTGCTGCACGGTGGATAATATGTTTGAGAAAGAATTCAAAGGCTACCATTTGATATACCTATTACTTTGTACTATTACTAATTACTTCGTTCCCTATTACTAATTACTTCGTAAGAAGTGAAAGTTATGTAATCATGTGCCGAAAAATGTGTGTTCTACAGAAAACCTCTTGTTGCCGGACCTTATAACGAAAGTGAATGAATATTGTTTATATATGTGGTAAATTATATCTCTTACACGTTGGGTAGTCAGAATTCATGTTTTGGAGGTCCTTGATATCGAAATATCGATTGGTGGCAAATCGTCTGTCCGTCCGTCTGTCTGTCCATTCTTGGTGAACATTAGTGCCTAAACTGTTCAGTCCATTTTCTACAAAATTGATATTCCCATATATATTAAAATGAATTCGATGCCCTCTGAGTTTGATACGGTTATTTAGATTCTGGGGGCACTTTGAATGAAGCTTCAACAGTTTAAAAAATGTCTAAAAAATGGCGCCAAATTTTTTTAATTAGCGTCCTCAGATAGCCTAAAGAACGTTTAAGAGATTGCTGTATGTCTCGTTTTCGTTAAAATTCCTAATTTTTCTAAAATTGCAAAAGTTCACTTTTTTCGGCAGCTTCCTACAACTATAACATTCAAGATTAATACTTTTTCTGAATGAAATCTGTTTTTTAAAGACATCTTGAAAAGAGTTTGAGTGCAATTTTTTCAAAAATATGAGGATTTTTCGTGTAATTTTGCGTGAAATATACGCATATTTAATTTTAGAAAACAACTTTTTTTCAAGAACAACTCCAATTTTTGTCTATAAATTTTCTTATTATAAATGTCAAAAATTGGTAGGAAAGTCGGCGAACTCTATATTTTCGATAACAGCAAAATTTTAACATTTCAAACCTACAAAATGAAGGAGATTTTTGCCTGAAACAAAATGTGTTCTAAAAAATCAGCTCTTTCAGAAAGGTCATGTACATTAAAAAACGAATGTTTTTGCGTAATTTGTGTTTGAAATTAATGCAATTAAAAATATTTTTTCAAAAACGCTCCAAATTTTTTCTTCAATTTTTTTCACATTTAGGACAAAGAACGCTTAAAAGAATAGGGTCGATCTCATTTTAGTTGAATTCTCTGAATTTTTGAAAATTGAAAATTTAGAAATATTTCGAGAAAGTATGTGCTATTATTGTACCACTAATTTCTCACACCTCATGAAATTTCTATCCGGTCAGCATCACGGGTAAGAGTAACGCAGAATTGCTGGTGGCTGTTAAACAGTGACACGTATTCCAGGCGGCAAATGTTGATCATACGTGGTACTACAAATGTCTTAATTTTGGACGAGATTCTGTTGAAAACAGTGCAACATGTGTTTTTGCCTATAATGTACGTTTTCCTTGAAATTGTGTCTTTTTTCGTGACCTAGGGAAACGTACTTTCTGGATTATGGTGGATTTCCTTTCGTGAACACGCGAAACACAGAACGTGTCGTGAGCACTTCGTAAAGAAGTCCACTTTAGAGATTGACAATACAGTTTCTAGTGTATAGACTTCCAAAATGTTTCGCATGTACCGCAGAATGACTGCCGAAATTGTTTAATTTACCACGACGAGAGGCGTCTGCGTCGTCGTCAGCTCCTGGTAACTTTTCAATATTTACTCTGCTCAATTATTATTCAATCTTTACCCGATCGTAGCCCAAAAGTTCAATCGATGCTGTTCCGTCGTCATAAATTTTTATTTACGAGTCCTATGCGCCGTCTTTACAGAGTTTCGGCGACGAAATCTTTACGCAGGATTGGGAACTCTCCTTGTTGCTATTTTAGAAATAAAAAGACTTACTTCTGTTTACAATCCCGCCCATTGTATTATGTTGCAAACATTCATTTGATATGCACATATCTCAATTCAACAACAATAACAACAAACATTGCACAAATACGGTATTTTTTTATCAAGTTCCCTTTTTATCTTTCTTATATATATTCATTACTAAATCCCTCCCCTTGCATGCATGGCCAAATTTCTCTTTTTAATTATTAATGTAAAATTCTAAAAATAACGACAGAACTTGCACTTCCGACGATTGTGAATTCAAAATGTTCCCCTTTTCTGTAGAGTAACTGCATTCTTGAACGCTGAGATCATTTCATTTCCATTTTGATGCAATCATTCCACGCCAGTGATGTCCATTTTATCTACACACGCAATTATATTCCTGTTTCTAACTACGCGTTATTTATACTATTCACGTATCCTCAATGACGTCACTAACTTGTAAATCAAACGTTATATGCTCCCAAATGCTATCCCGCACAATTGTAAAAAGTGTAACTTCAACTTCGACTGCATCGGAACATCACCTTTACTTCCTAATCCTTCCGCGCTAGAAGCCCGTCGGTTTGTCTAGTTTATCTTACGCGCTCGTCAGCTATCTCTTCCTGCGCAAGATCCTCTCCAATCGTGCCTCTTCTTGCCTTGCAGAGCTTAGACCACTCGATCTCTCTCACACGATCTTATTTCTGATTGTTCCCTCCTAATTCTACACTGAATTTGTTTATTCCTTGGTTCCTTCTTCGTAATACTTCTCGTAACTTAATTCCACACCCAGGGAAATTGCTCACGTGTCCTTTCATGAATTTAATTATTAACATATTGTCTCTTTCCCCCACCATTACTTGTGTTGACATTCCCTTGTAATGCTATTAATTAAGACGCACACTTTGCTTATCATCTCTCCAAATCGTTGCGATCGTCCATATTTACATTTAATATGATTTTACTGTTCTCATTTATTTATACTCGTGATAACCCATCTCACGTCGTTGATTGACTAGTTACCCTTGTTGGGACGTTTTACGGGAACACAGTACACTAGCGCAGGTAGTGAGTAAGCAGTGGGTCATTTAACAAAGAAGTTGGGCGACTGAGTGCCTCGCCAATCGCAATAGCCATATGCGATCCTACAAAACACGCATCTTTGCTGTGCTCCAGAGGAACTCGACCGAGGCGTTGTACCAGGTATCATAATCTGCGTGTACTTCTTTGCCGAAACAATTTGCCTCGGGTCCAGAATCAACCTTGCCCGATTCCTAAGACGACCAAGAAAATAAAACAGATGGGCCTACCCGGATCTCAAAGACTGCTGTGTTAAGACTCTACACAAAATATATTACGTAAATATTATGCAATGAAGGCCGCGCTGGAGACTACAGTAATTTTCCCACGATTATGAAAAAAAAGCGCGTTAGATAGACGTCAAACGGTCCCTCTTTGGCTGAAATATTTTAATGCAATGTGCGTTACTATTTATTGTGTTTAAAAGGATCCAAATTCAATGTAATTGTTTAAATTTCATATCTTTATTATGCGGATGTGTGTACCTTGATTCATCCATCCATCCATCCACGCATCCACTAATTTATCATATCAGGTCAGATCAACAACATACATACGAATGCTGTAAAGAAGGTACTTGTATGAAAAGCAATTTAAGAAACTTTTGCAGTAGTAAGAGAGGTTCTTATTTAGCGTTTGAGGGAGAGCAGTGATGGAATGTGACATGAAGCAAACAGTAGAAATTTACTAAGGAATGCAACTCTTCTGAAAATAATCTGTGGATGGATCTTTCCATTTCTTTCGAAAAAAGTGGTAAACCTCTGATTAAGATATTACACAATTTACGCCAAAAAGCTAAAAACAAAAAAAAACATTAATTTGTTATATTATTCATTTATCTATCAGACTGTTATTAAGTTTCTATTAAATAGGTTTATTGTCCAGATATTTTAGACAGTTTTTTAAATCATTCAAAACACACATTACACAGAAAACATATTTTAGTTTTAAAATTATTATTAAAATATTATATTACTTTCTAATGCCTTTCATGCCTCTACGTTTGGAGGGTTTTTTGTCATATTCTTCAGTAATTTCATTTCATGCTTAACTAGGGCTTTCCCAATACAAGCTCTTAGTTTTTTATTGTGACGCTTAACTACAACCTTGCATCTTTTATATTACTTTTTGATCTAACAATGTGAGAAATCATCACTGAATATCATTGGCGCTTTATCAGGGGGGCGGAATCTTCTCCTCACGATTTCTTTTTCTGAATGGAATGACCAAAGAAACTAGTTGCTTGGCGGAAAATGTATAATTTTTTAGTTGATAGTCATGATACATTTATTTTGATCGAGTTTTAAATCACGCGCGCTTTTAGGAGTCATGAAAACAATCGAAATTACTCGTACGAGACACTGTCAGCACTTCCTCATCTCACGTAGCAATTGCTCATAACCCATAGCTCAACTCCTACAGTCAGAAGATGGTCGTTTTTTAATGGAACCCTAAGGTGAGAGTGGAGAATCCCTCCCCTGATTGAACTGTCATCTAGAGGCGTCTATTTCAACTAGTACCTCGCCTTCCTGGGCGAAGAGGTACGAGCAGAGATGGCGCACGGTGATATCGAACAACAACATGGGCTTCTAAAAGTACGGTGAAGGAGCGACCAGGCCGATATATATTTCTCTCCTATCCCATCGTTAGTCGACGCATGTAATCTAATTTGTTGTACGTTCCATTTGAAACAATTTATGGAATTGACGTTTTTCCTCACAAAACATGCACGAGACACCAGTGTCGTATATAATGCTGTGACCCTACATACAATATTTTAAAAATATTCAGCCGTCGGATTTTTTAAGGTCGGTTTTCAACTGCTCGGTCATGCAGCTACCTCTGTAACTTTTAGCTTTGGGGTAAAGGTGAGGGAATATATACTAACAACATACACAAACATCCATGCCCGGGGCGAAATTCGAATCCGCGACCCTTCAAGGCAACGCAGCTAGGGCCCTTCGACCTTAGCGACCTCGGCTATCTAGGAGGACATCCACCAGGGTTCATAGGGTGTGGAGCTCCAAAAAGCCTCTCAGGCGCCAGCCGTTGTCAGATGAGGCCTACTGTGCTGGGACTCGTGCTCACCCTCCCATCCACCACCCGGCTTTCGTGCTCTGTGCTGTGCCTGCCGCTCCCGTCCCCTCCCCCTCTCCCACCCCCGTCACACGCGCACGCGCAGCCGCCTCCAGCACCCGACGGAGCGTCTGTCGATCAGCTGACGGCCACGTGCGCGCCGATTCGGCAACCCCGCGCCGGAGCACGCCCCTGGTGCCTTCGCCGATGCATGTGCACGTTGTTTAAAAACCGACAGCGAATGTTTTTCGTTTCCCAATGTTGCCTACCTTTATTAGCTTAATTCATAATTCAACTACGAACAGTAAAAAAGAGAGGCTGGGAACAAACGTTTTCCCAAGATCGGCATCAAATTTCACGGCGTTTGTATTGTAAAACATTATGATAACTATTTACTTATTAATCATTTATTATTTAATGTAAAAAATCATGATACATTCTGGGGGAACTCACTTGTAGTAGCCCGGAAGCAAAGCAAGAGACTATCTCCGCTGTTTCAAGGGAAACCGATCGAGTTAGGGCGAAAGCCAATGAACATTCGTCTTTTAAAATTAGACACATATTAAATAAATTGTCAATATCAATTTTATAAAATATTGTTTTCAATTGTAATACAAAATATAATCTCTAAAATAGAATACAAAACATTCAACACTACAAGTGATTTGAATTTGAAGACATTTTACACCTATGTAAATAGTTCAAGAGTTTAAAGGCTCTGAGTACTTTTTTCATTTAGTAATTGATAAGATAGTTGTTTATGTTAAACACAGCAGGCAAGGTAACTACGTTCATTAGTAAATGTAAACATACTTTGAATCAAGTTGAAATGTTGAAACTTCGCTACGTAAGATGGTTGATTTTTCTCGAAAACGACAATTTTTAAATTAAAATAATTTATTGCTAGAAATCATAACCGACTCATCGAACGAACACTCCACTCCAAAAAATGGTACAGAGATGTACATTTTTGTCACAATGTAATAAAATATAGTAATGTAGAAATAATAGAGTAACAAAATTATAATTCTTTAAAAAAAATTAAATGTCTTTTTGGCCAATGTAAAGACTAGCCAAGGACCTTTGCACGTTTTCCCATGAATTTATAGACCATCTCTTCTGGCATACATAGTTAAAATTAAAGTCAAAAATCCTCGTTTCCATAATATCGTTACCTCTTCTCCGTGTTACCGATTGGCAGGCGCGATATTCTTTCGGAGACAATCGCTAGTTCATCATTATCGATCTTTTGCAGTCCCCTTGTTAGGAATAAAACATAGCAATGCCTGTTGTTGGCAACATTTGATAAAAATTGTTCGCTATCGTGATAGAAGTAAACAACTAGTTTAATCGGAAAACGAGCTGCAGATTTAATTCCATAGTACTGTCAAAAAAATAGATACCCACAATCCTCTCCCATCATGCGAAAATGCGAAATACATACGTGGTCTGAGCTTGCCTCTGCCCCACTCTTTCCCACAACTTTATGGAAGTTCCGAGAGGCCTAATACTGGAGCATAAACGACACGGTTCTGCGTCAGCGCTGTGTTGAACCATAGTTCACCACTCTCCTTTTGTTTCACCTGATGGGCCAGACATCACCGTTCGAGTCTACAATGTAAGTACTTCTCTCTTGACGTTGGACAGATGTCCTGCTTCTGATTACGAATTTGAATAACAGTCTCACATCAGTACTCCTATAACAATGTAAATCTCCTTTTCAACTTTTTGAAATGATTTTAACACACAAATGTATCTGTGAATTACAAATGTATCAAAATCTTAGTTATGCGCTATGCTATTCATTATGAACAGGGACAGGGATAACATGCGATGCGTAATATAATGATTCCCATAAACATAAAAGAACTTACTCTCTCGCGTTATTAAAAACAGTCCGTAATTTAACAGCTTTGATACTTATTTTACACAGTAACAAAATAACTTTTCCATGTTTAAAATTCGGACTCGACCCACCGCTATGAATGAATACCATTGCCTCCAACCTTTTTTCGCGTCGTTTTCGGAAGTTCCCGCGGGCCTACTAAAGGGGCATGAACGGCTCGGCGTTGCGTCGGCGCTATCTTGGGCCAAGGCGTCGGCGTCTATTTCGGAGGCGGCGGCGGTGGGGTGGTGACGGCGTTGGCGGTGGCGCCGGTCGCAGATTTTTCGTTCTGCGCATCGATCGTTCTGCAGAGGCAACGACACGGCGATGGCGGTGGCGGTGGTGGTGGTGGTTGGGGTGGCAACGTGCCGGTTGAGGGGTTGGGCGGGGCAAGGGGGCGGGGGGTATGGAGTGGTGGTGGGGTGGGGTGGACGTGAGTCCGAGCAGGAGGGGTGACGGAAGGAAGGAGGATTACTTGGCAGGCACGGTGTTTGAACATGGCACAGAGCGCCGGATTCTTGCATGTATTTGAATAGGTCTCGAGTAAAGAGAAGGAAAAGTAGGATACACTAATAGCGTCGGCCATGCGATACACTGCACAAAGGTATAAAAAGTAGTAACAACTAAAGATAGCATACAGTTATTATCTGATTCGTACAAATCGAATAACAATGTCATAACAAAATCAATCAATAAGCGTCCAATAAAATTTGTACATTTCAAAATATGTAGTGATTTATGAAGGTAATTCTTCGATTTATTAAAGTAAAGAATAAAAAGAAGAATATATTTATTATTCTCTCGATTTTTGTTCTGATTTTCGAATAGTGCAATATGTGTAATTTTACGAAAAGTGTGCTGCTTTTAGATGGTTTGGCAGTATATTTAAAAGAATAATGGAATCAAAATAGTATATTTAATCACAGCACAAATAAAAGCCAGTTTAGATAGCTGAAAGGAAATGAGAATGTTAAGCTGACCACCTCTCTTGTTTGCTAGTTAAATATGTTAGTCTCATAATAAATTATGTTTTCAAAAGGTCGGCAAAGGTGATAATATTTTTAATACACATCCATTCTATTTAAGCAATTTGTCACAATAATTTTTATAAGTTTTAAAATGTTAATAGTATTTTATCCTTTAAAATACACTAATTAAAAACACAGTTGTTTAAAACTGTATTGACTACGAAAATTATGTTTTTCGACGAGTCCTACGGTAGGAATGTTCGTCATTGCAGCCGTTAAAATTTTGTACCCAACGTGACCCATTTCCATTTTTAACACCCATTAAAAATTGAAATTACGTTCAAATGCATTTATAGTCAGATTCAAGCACCAAAGTAATTTTTTTGATCTGTGTGTTTTTGCTTCTTTTTCATGAGCAATATTTTTTTTATGGAAGGTGGAGGACCACTAGAAGGCTCTTCTATTAATGGTATTTTTTATTCCCCGCGAGTTACGTCAACAGACAGTAAAGTGGAGTAAAATATTATGTGCACTTTAAACGTTAAGGTGTTAATGGGGCACGTAGATAGTGGTGAGGTGATGGCCTATTGAAGCGTGGGTGGAGAGTGGGGGGCATATGAGGCGTCGGAAGGGGGGGCGAGCGGGGCGTGATGGCATGAACCGCTGCGGGCGGCGGGGCGACGCCGGGCGACGATGGGGCGGCGAGGGGGCGCGAGGGGAGGTTGCGGCGCGAGGGGCCGAACAGCGAGGGGCGCGAGGGGCGAGAGGGTTTGCGCATGCGGAGGGGCGGGGGCAGGTGGGATTCGATCGCGGTGTTCTCGCCTCTGCTTGCAAGAGAGCAGGTGGCCGGTCGCTGGACTGCGCTTCGCGTGGTGGGAGAAACGTCGTCCGGCGCGCGGTGACAGCCGCATCTGTTCAGCGGCGCTGCGCCGAGGATGGTTCAGGCTGGAAAACGAGACGAGGCCCGTTTGACAGTTGCAGACAAGAGCCAGCAGGGCGTGGGGAGCGAGGCCGTCGGGGGAGGCGCGGGCCGGGGCCGTGCTTCGCGCTTGCGTTGAAGCAGTTTTCCGGTAAGTGGGGAGACCGAGCCTCGCGGGCGGGATGGGATTGTCTGGTGAGCGTGATCGAGTGCGTGTGAGCGCGTTACAAGGAGCACCCGGCGGGGTGACCGGTGGAGGCGCGCGCGTGACCGACGTCGGCGGCGACGGGTCTCCAGCGGGGCGCCATGACGGAGCCGGCAGCTCCGGCGCGACCGGACGCCGTCTCCACGGCGCCGCGACGCTGTGCAACGCCGCGCGAGCGTCGGCGTGCTGGGCCGGCGGCGGTGGCGGCGGCCGCGCCAACAGCGCCAGCCCAGCGCCGCCGGCGGAGGGGTAGCCAGCCAGGGCATGCGCGAGCAGGCGGGAAGCGGCCCCGTCGTCGCGCCGCGTTGGCGCGCGCCGCGTCGTGATATGTGTCGGGAGGTAGAGTGTGAGCGGGAGGGGCGCCCGAGCCTGACGAGCCCGGAGCTGTCGGGCGTGAGCGGAGGAGGAGAGGGCGCCGCGCACGACCGATGACACCCGCCTCGCGACTCCGACACGAAAGCAGCTGGGGCGAGCAGCGGAGTGCTGGGTGTGGGGGAGGGGAGGGCAGGCGGCCGCCTCGCGAAACGCGCGCTCAGCTGGTGCGCAGGGCGGTAGCGGGTCGGCGGCGCGATGGGGCCCGGGCGGTGGGGCGGCGAGAAAGTGGCGAACGGGGTGGTGGGGTTGCAGGCGGTCGGGGCGGCCTCGTTGCGCGTGCTGGCCGGCGCGGCGCGCGACGGCGGCTGGCGTGCGCGTGGCGGGCGCGCGGGCGCGTGGCAGGCGGGTTGGGGCGGCGCTGCTGATGGTGTGGGCGCTGCTGGGCGCGTGGGCCTTCCGCGCCACCGAGGGCCCCCACGAGCGCCAGCGCGCCAGCGGCGTGCGCCTCGAGCAGCAGAAGCTGGCCGACGAGCTGGCGGAGGCCGCGCGCCGCCTGGCCGAGGACGGCGGCGCCTGCGGGGACGACACTGCGTGGCGCGATGCCGCGCAGGTACGGATGGCAAGTTGCTTTCTCATGTCTGTGTGTCGACGTGTTGTGTGACGGGTAGATACAGTAACCAGCTGTGAAGTGGTCAGCAGGTTATACCACTGGGACCGAGGAGTAACTCTGTGCAGGTACGCAAGTTGTTTTCTAATAAACCCTCTGTCAATGTGCTTTTTGCAGTAGTAGTGGTTAGATTTGATCACCAGCTGTGAAATGGTCAGCATGTACCACTGGGACCGAGGAGTAATTCTGTGCAGGTACGCAAGTTGTTTTTGAATACCCTCTCTGTCAAAGTGTTAGGCTGTAGCGGTACGATCTGGTAACCAGATGTAAAGTGGTTAGCGTGTTATACCAGTAGGACATAGGCGTGTTTCAATACCGGTACGGTTGGCAAGTTGTTTTTTTTAATAACCTCTCTGTCAATGTGTTGCGGTGTGACGGATAGATCTGGTAACCAGCTATGTAGCGATAAACATGTTATACCACTGAGGCCGAGGTTTCATTCCGTTCAGACACAAATGGCAAGTTGTTATTCCAAAAGCTTCTCTGTCAATGAATTGCGGCGACCTGTGGTATAGCAGTCACATGTGACATTCCGCTGTGATGTGGTCAAGCGATATACTACCGTAAGAAAGGTTCGAACTCCGAACCTTCCAAGAGGAATTTGTGTTGGTCAAAGCAAATTCGTTTAGCTCTAGGCGCTCACATCTACGCTGCCCCTCATTCCACCATCTATTCTTCTCTATTTTCATGCCCATAAATCACGTCATTACATCATCAGGTCTCGGGACGATTTCCTTTCCTGGTACATCCGATGATGGTAGAGTTGAGATTCTATCTTCGAAACTACAGACATTGTGTTGTCTCCCAGAAAATGCATGCCATATGGTAAACGAAAGAAATGTTCTTGCAAACAATATCATACAAAATAGCGATGTGTCATGTATTTTCCTGTTGTTGATCTCATAAGCGAGCCTGAAAACGTTGAGCCACCCTGAATTTGCCGTAAATTGTTGGTGATTTATTCAATAACTTCAAGGAGGATTACTCCATGAGCTCAATGCCCAAAAAGCGCTTACAGAGAAGTTGCGAAGACGCAACAATTTTTTTAAAAAGAAGAAAGAAGTAGCTTTGCGCCACATTGGCTGCCAGTACCAGAAACCAATTTGGACTTCAATTTATTTTCGCCAGTGGTGACCCTACATCGGCCTCTGTTTTTCTCTATATTCCTCTTTTTTTCTCTATGTGCGTCGTTTCCTGGTTGAGTAAACGTGAATCTGATTAGGAGGATGTCAGAAGATTTTATTTGGTCGGGCAACTGACAGAATTATTTTACATTCTACACGGGACACTAAGGATTCCCGCCTTACGAAAATCCAACCCCCGCAGCCAGATATCAAAATGCAAACCTCGGATTTTGTGAAGTGGGATCTGTGCTAACCATCATAACTTTCCGCCCGGTTTATTACAGTATTGGGATGTTGACAAAATTTACATAAATTCGTAATATATAGGTAAATTATATTCTACCGGAAATAGTCGTGAATTGGTATTTGCATCAAGTTCATCAGAAATGGTTTTATAAGTCTGTGTCCAAAAATGTATTTTATTAACATGTTCATTTTCAAACATTATGACCCTTCATTTCCATGGGCAGAGACATGTGTAACGAAGTGACAAGCTGACGCCATCAGCCAAATGCATTTCCGTGTCAGGTTGTGCCATTGTTCAGGCAAACTTCCAATCCTCTTCAAACCTGTAGTAGAATTTCCGGGAAAAGCTTGAGAGGTCGTTGACTCTCACTTCCTCTTAAAAGGCCCTTACAGTTTTCCCAGATTTTTTCGTGATAGTTGAGATTTATTCTGAATGTCGGATAACGCTCCGAATTTATTTCTTTGACTCTAGTCTGTCCATGGGAAGTCATAGTCAAAGGGCAGTAAAAAGGCAATAAGCTACGAATGGTTTGAATTGACTGACGATATATTCATCCAGTTGTTTTCCAGTTAAATGATTTACCAGCCTTCCTCTCATCTTCAAAAGTAACTTAAATCTCTTACTCCTTCCAATTATTGTTTTATCATCTACTATTCCATGATGAGCATCCATTTCCGAATTCCCCTTCATGATTTTTGATTATAAACCCTATTACATCGTTCCATTTATCTTCCTATCTATTTAATATTTTTACAAGTTTCCAATTATACAAACAGAATGAATCTTTTCATGGGTAACTAGTGGTATTACAACAGCACATACATTCTCGCGTTATTGGAAACAGCTTCATAATATTGAAATATTGTATTTTCTGCGCTGCTAACACCTCAGCTATTATTAGAAAACGTGCAAGTTAACCAAGAAGCGAGCAACGCACTGTTGCCGGCGCAGCGTTGTCAAAACTGTGTGCATTCTCTTGGCTAATAATATTAATACAGTAATTAGAATATATGCAAAGTATATCAAAATAATTACGAAAATTGGGCTTGTCATTCTTGAGTTGTCTTTCGTCGTAAGATAAAAGTTCCGATAGCGTTTCATCATTTTTCTTTTATTCAATAGTAAGTAAATTTTTGTAGGGATTAGATGATATTAAATGATATGTAACAGACCTCATCGGTCATTCTGAGGAGCAGTTTATATAAAACTGCTGCGAAATTCATCGCAAACAGTAGTACTGGCTCTCGGTCTAGGAATTACACCACCACCAGCGGGACTTAATAAAACAGATGTATCGTACCGCCAACACCTCGACGTCCGACAACAATTAGCTTATCAAATATCCATGCCACATTTATATTAAGCTTTGCTTGCTTGAGAAGAAATACAACAATTCATTGAGAATACAAATTAAATAAAAAGAAAAAAAGCGAGAGTGTAAAAATATAATTAATAATGGCATACTCAATAGTAAATTAACGTAATTTGCAAACAGTGAGCGCACTGCAAGCCTGACGGCCAGCTGGCAGGCTAAAGTTTTGACAATCTAATATCAGGCGCAATCGAAAGGATGCGCTCGTCGTAATATGCACTCTAATTGCACCATTTTTAGCCGTTTGTATCTGATAAAAAAATGTTATTCGAAAATTGTTAGAAACATAGCAGCGCCTTGTATCACTTTAAGCACTTCTGATTGAACGTTGTAGAAAAAGAGAAATCGTCAAGAACCTGCTGCGCAGAAACGAAGATTTTTCAGCAAAATAACTTAATAGCTATTTAGGCACCAAGGTTATTAAGTGTTATAAGCGATCTAATTATCTTGGGCGACAAAATTGGGGCATTTTGTTGCCCGGTTTCATTAGAACCAGTTAACGCCCGTGGTACAGACACAATTTTATTTTTATTATATATATATATATATATATATATATATATATATATATATATAATTAATATAATAATATTAGTGATTAAGATTTACTAATTAACTAGATATTCACTTGCTGCGGTTTGTCTTTTCATATTTCTCTTTCGTAAGAGAAATTCCCTCCATACGGGAATGCGTAGCATAATTCAACTCTTTTCATATAACCACGATCCTTTCGATTCAGGTAAGATGTGCAGCGTATATCGAGCTCTGTATTGAAATCAATAACAAGCCATAATGTATCAATATTTTTTTTTAAATTTAAGAGTGAAGACTGTGTGCTTTTTAACCGCATGAAATGCTCCCCTCCCCGTACCCATCCCCTGCTGGGCGCAGTCCTAAGGCCCCGTGTGCGGTCCGCAGACGGCGTGGCGCGCCGCCGCCAGGCAGTACGTGGTGCGCCACGAGCAGATGCTGCTGGACGCCGTGGACGACGGCTTCGGCGAGGGCGGCGGCGGCTACATCTGGACCTTCTCCGGCTGCCTGCTCTTCGCCGTGTCGCTGCTCACCACCCTGGGTGCGTCACCGCTGCCCCGCGCCTCTCGGGCCAGCTCAGTAATAATAGTAATAATAATAATAATAATAATAATAATAATAATAATAATAATAATAATAATAATAATAATAAGTGCTGTGGGAACTTGTCGTTTCGAACTTCGGTCGTGGCAATAACTTTCTCTGGCGCGGCAATAACTCGATTAGATTTATCGAGTTGGTTGCCCTCAATGTCCACCAGATAGGGTTTGCTGTTGGTCACACAATCGACTTGTAGTGGAAATATTAACAGCCAATATTGTTTAACGTGCGAGCCCATAATCATCAACGTTCCCATCATCGTCATCATTACTGGCGTGATAACTCGCTAAGCCTCCAGGAGTATGTAAAATTTACAGCTGTTGCGCAAAATTGCCATTTCTTCGCCGGTACCTATTAACATTAACCTACGAGTATATATTTGGGACGGGCCCGCGTACTGATGAGTCCGAGGTTTTGTACTCGTATGTAGTGCAATCTTCGGGCGTTCGTGAAGTCAAAAATTACATTATTTTCCTTGCCATCATGTTTAATTAAGAAGAACATAATGACAACAAATATTACGAAACCCAACACGCCACTGAAATCCTGAGGTGAATGTGATTGGCAAGCAAATGCTTACTGCATACTCTCCATTCATCAGCCGTGGAGCACATGGTAACAAGGTTAGACACATCCAAACAATGAAACTGTCACTCTCTCCAAAATAAAATTAATTCTTTAACATGAATTTTTTTAGTAAATATTTAACGCGTCTCTAACATAATTGTGCAAATAAACTTTTGTTATGAAAACGATATTAATAATATTAATACTAAAAATACAATTTACTATCTTAAAATGTTCCTTTGTCGGAAAACTCTTAAGGCCCTACATATCAGGCGGCTCTTAGCATTAATTCCCAGGGCACTAAGTGAGTGGATCGCCATCTTCTTGTCTTAACTGCCATAAGAAACATCGGGTTAGTTGGCTCATGGCATCAATTGATGTTACAGCAGTGCTTGTGACAGGGAGATCCCAGGGTTTGAGTGTCCACGGTGTCACGATTTGCGACACTAGCTAGACAGTTAGGTGGAGTTGAGGTGCTGTCTGGCCGACTGCTCTGATCGGTAATTTTACGTGATTTCTCTCATCAACACCAAGCGAATGACCGAATGAGCAGTCCCGTAACGAAAGGGTTAGCCTTTCCCTTCCTAGTCTTACCCTCACCCCTTACTTTCACACACTTACACTTACATGCACTATACTACCACACATGTTGGGACACCAGAAGGAAGCATAGATCGTGCCCCGGGTTGGGGCGGAGCAATGGCGGTGGGAGATACCTAGTGGAGGAAACCGGTAGCCGACGTGTAGGTCGGCACCGGAACTCACCATTCATCGGAGGAAGATCACCGCCAATAAACACCATGCACTACACTTACAGAACCAGTGGCCTTAGTACGTGACACACCCTTAAACACCAATCAATCGTAACAACTCTTTTTGGAGCAGGGCCAGTCCCGAGCTTCTGGCATTGAAATTTCGACTGCTGTTTCGGGCATATCCTAAGTGAGACGCTCAGGACATCGGACGAAATGGTACACATCTCATGTCCAGGAAAGTAATGCCACTTTGGAATCGAAATAGAAAATGAATAAAAAGACTGTTGTGTAGGTGTATTATTGATCGTTTAATCGACCTATGGATATTCGATTGCACTGCGTGCATTATCAGAGATATCCAACTGCCAGTCGGAAAATGTTCTGCAGAACTTTGTTCTTCCACTTCGTGGCTGCTGGTCAGTCCTAATCTTCACTATGTGATCGAAAGCGTTGTAACTAGTAATCATACTAAAACACACAATCCTGGTCTTTTTATTTTTTAAATGAAATATATCAATCTTTGGAACATCTTATTGAAACAGAAGGACCATGCGAATACTAAGTGCTTTAAAATAGTCAAATAGTAAAAATAAATTTCGATCAGCTTACCTCGGAACTGTGCGTTACAGCATTATAGGACCGGTAGGTGTAAAGAGTGAAGATTTTAAAATTATGTTGAGATTAAATTACACAAGAAATAAAACAGACCCTTTCATTTTATCGTTATATATTATTTATTTTTTCCTTCAGTTTAAATTTACATAGATTTCGTGTTTCTGTACTGTTCTGACCACCGACTTTACGGTGTCGGGGCACCCATAACAACTGAATATCCAAAAATATAATAGAAAGTTCAGAAAGTTCTCATTGTGTAAAATATTGCCTTAATTCGAACCCCACGTCTCTCCCACCTGGTCTCCCTTCACTTCCTCATGCGTCCCAGAATATATCTTCCAATTGTCCTACTCCAGTTCCTCATCATTTACCCTCCTGTGTGTGTACTCGTGTACCTTGGTGGACACCAAAACCTAGTTTTAAGGTTTTAGGACGAGGTACGCCCAATTTTAGTGTATGTTGCAGTAATCTCTTTTGTGTGTCGCAAATGTCACAATCTGCAAACTTCTATTATTTTGGGATATCTCTCACGACGATAATATTTACATTACGATCGTTTTTCTATATTATTGCTTTTGTGAGTGGAAGTGTTTCAAATCATTTCCAATAAAGATTATTGGAAACATCTTCAAAATTTTCTGTGAAAATGAGCTCAAAATTGTGCATTTTTCGTTTTACTCGTGATGATGTGTAATTCCCTACCAAGCAGTAACACACTTCGGTTTTGGCGTCTATATTTTCTTATAAATTGTCAAAAATCGTAATATATCCTTAGCGTATTATATAATGATAGAGAGAGTGGATTTATCAGAGCGATGATTTGATATTTAAATGTCAAGACAGTGATCTTCGTTTTTGATTTTTTTCATCGCACTAATATTCATTCTGTGCCATTTTGTATGGTACAATAATTAAAATTTGAAAGTAATCCTTCAAAACAGAGTACTCTGAACATGATTAGTAAATAGTATATAAGTACACAAACAATTTCGAGGGTTCCGTGTGGATATTTTTGAACAGTTTGCATATAAAAAAATAATTCTCAGATCTCAAAACCCTACAAAATAATTCTAAAATAAAAATCCACTTTGAATTTCACGAAGTTAACAAAAACCGGTGTGCAACTGTTAATTGTCTAAGGATTCTCGAACCTGTATGATCGGCTTTCGATGCAATCCGTTGAGTTCCCAGACTTAATTATTTCCTCATCTCTGGTCGTTTTTCTCCTCCCTTGCCAAAAAATATTAATTTACCACAGCAAGTTCATTATTGTAATACAAATTTCTGATGACCAATGAGTAGTGTAAATCTAGTTATCATGAATTTGCGCCGAATCTCTTTTATACTCTTTGTTTCCACCGGATGCATGGTCAAAGAACAGAACTGAAAGCATGAAAAATCTACAAAAGCTTTGAACATTGTAAATAAACGTTTATGTTTATTTACGTCCTGTTTTCAATGACTTGTCTGTTTCAAGCAAATAATTCATGGGTCAATTTGTGAATGTTTAGAGACTTTGCACTGAAATAATTATGAGAATTAGAATTTGTGACATTTTCCCTGTACGTAGTCCCCTAGAGAATTTCTGTCAGTCAATTTTAGTTTTCTAAATATCTGCCTTTTCTATCACACTTTTCAATAACTCCATTGTTAAAACGTTAAATATGGCGAGATTTTTAATTTCACTTTCAGACAGCTTTCGGAGGCCCGTTGTATACGATTAACACTTTTAAGATGACAAAAACACCACATCTTTATGGCAAAATAGACGTGGGGTCTTTTAGGAAAGCGTTGTAATTAGTGGTTTCATACAAGTATCTACATTACTATTTTCGAATCCATGCAGAAATTGAAACTCCAAGCAACCTCCGGTCATATGAGAGGTTCTATGATTTAGGTAGACATGCAGGAACTCACGAAAAATACAAAATATCTGTATTACTAATTTCCAATGCACGCAAAAAATGAAAAAAATTATACAGCCCTTGGTCATGTGGAAAGTGTCTATATTTTCGTTATATACCCAGGAACTCGAGGAAAATCTAAAAACAATTAAAAAATTCCGATTATATCTGTGAAAGGCAAATAATTGATTGTGTTGATCTGCGTATTCTCATACTACGCGTACCGTCTGAATTCTAGTACTTAGTGCGTTACTGCTTGACCCCGCTGACGTCATGCGTTAGCAAGATAGGAAGAAGCTTCCACTTTTAAATATTTGCTATTCACTCGTTGCCTAATGGAATAACAATTTTTTCTTGCTATGAAAACAACTCTTGTTCAGTACATATTTCATACTATGTTATGTTACTTTAGTCTTTGTGAGGACTGTTTTCGTAAAATATTTATTTAATGTATTGTTATGCAAGAGCTTTTTATTTGTAGCGTTTTCTCCAGTATGCGTGCTACTGTTCAGAAAACCATTTTGTATGGGGTTTCCCAGCAGCTAGTTTGCAGAATGGTCAAGGAGCACTCAAGAGCAGTATACCTTTAGAAAATAAGATTGTCATTTTAGAGATATTTCTAACTAAATTTGGAATATTAAAATTAATTTAATATTACTGAATAGAATTATCTATATTTAACTTACGCTGAGAAACGCTAATTCGTAATGAAAGTAATAGTCCACACGAAAGTCCGTACAGAAGGAAATGAATACCATATTTGAAATGTATCTTCCAACATTTGTAATTTAATTAATATTATTATACTTTTCATGTTTCTCAAAATCTTACACCCTTGCGCAATGAGACTGGGTATGGCACTCATAATCAGCAAGATAAAATCCAATATTCTTGGGACTATTTTTCGAATTACCTGGCACTTAAGACTTATCAATTCATCATACAGGCTGACTTACTGACTTACTTACTTAAGACTTCTCAATTTATCATACATGTACTACTAGAAAATGTTGCTCCCGTTTTAAATAGACTACGCGATCCGCAGCGTATCAATGAGGGAATACTTCTCAAATTGAATCATTAATGACATAAATGTATACATCGCCGTGAATGACGGTAAAATGAGCGAAAACAATGAATGTATGAAAGACATAAGTGATACCAACAGAGAGAGGTCGGAACATGGAATCAAAATGAAAACATTAATGTTTCCTGAATCATTGGGGCGTGATGTTTGAATGGGCCAACAGATTTTCCTTTGTTTAAGGAATTTTAGAGTTATATCATTCATAATTCACAGGTTAGGTGGTTAGGGCTTATAAACAAGGCTTGCATGAGCACCTCCGTGTGACAGGGACGGAAAAGAATTTGTGTATCACTTGGTCACGCGACCCGCTTTACCCTGACCGGTTTTCGTTCGAAACTGACAGAAAATAGCAAGCACCGCGGGGTTGCCATCGATCAACATGCTTCTTTTTTAACTTGTCACAGAGAGCAGAACACTCCCGAAAAATAACGTTTTCCGCGTAGTGTCTTATGCAAGTATCGTTGTGGCTGCCTGGTTAAACGTGACTTTTCCGGGCAAAAAATCACTTCTATTTTAAAGTGTAACGAAACACTTCAGTGGAAAAATAATGCTTAAGAAATGATACTTTGTTTAAGAGAATACTGCCAAATATAATTTCAGTGATTGAAATAATACGCGAAATAAATTTAACTCGTTGTTTTACTCTTATGTTATTGAGGGATGACAGGGTAAACAAAAACAAAATAGAAAAGGTAGCTTACGGGATTTTATCGGAATGAATTAAGACATTAAAACATAGTTTGTAGACGTTTCGGAATATTTTTATTCCATTCTCAAAGCTGGTGGTAAAAGAAAAATATGAGAACAAACACTGTAGAAGTACATATGCCATATGTTTTACTAGCAGCTCAGAATACGGAATACAAAGTATTCCGAAACATCGGCAAACTATTATTCAATGTCTTAATTCACTCCGACCAAATCTCATGATCAACATTTCTCGTTTCTACTACTGGGTCGTGAAACCACAATGGTTAAAAACAAAATAGAAAACATAAGTTTTTGAGGGCTTAACGGGCTCTGAAGAGCAGTCTTTGGAAAAATATGTACTCATCAGCACTCGAAAGTTCGACCTGATGTAATGCAATATACGGTTAAAAATCACTAACATAAAGAGTATGATTAGTAGCTCGGAAGACAAATAATTTTGGGTTGTAAAAGAAAGAGAAATTTTAATTTTCAGGTATGTTGTATATCTTGTTAATCCATTTTTCGACCTCTCCTTCATATACGTTTCCCGACAACTTGTAAAATCAGCCGGAAAACGCAATTTTTTCAGGTTTTCTTTGGTAACAAGCATCCAGTGCATTTTAGGGAAAATGTTCTATTGACAGTTTTAAAGCTTCCTAAATTTCGGGCCATTTTTTTAAATAACATAGTTTGGTAACTGAATAGGTATTAAGATACAAAGATACGTGAATATTTACGTCTTCATATATTCCTAGTTGAATTATTTTCGTGGTATATCCACGTAATTTTTGCGACCCAGTGCTGTGCCATGGCACTGTCTTTGAGAACGATTAAGAGAAAAAAATGCTATCTAACATGAAGTAGTAGGTGGAGAAATTGATACTTATAAGTAAACAAGTGTCGTAAAAGTGTTAAGACGTCGTTGTGCGTTATGATTCTATTTACATCTTTGGGCTCTCGTGGGGGTAGAGGCGTACGTCTTTATGACATCACCATTTCTGGACCGGTGAAAGTATTAGTGACTTTGCATTCTTGGGGTGTATAAAGGATGATAAGATGATCTTGAGATGTGCGATGATGAGAGATGAATGATTATGGAAGGAATGATGCTTAAATGGAGGACCGTAATGATGAACAAATAAACTCACCCCACAACCCCACGGTGGAAACCCCTTACCCTTCACATCCACGGTCTTCCCGCACTGCGGCTCTGGGAAGGATATTTTCTGTCACCGAAATAGTGTACTGTGATACGAAATGTGTTGTGATATACGTATTTAATTTGTCACAATAGTTTTCGTCTGTAAGGCGGTTTACATATTTACGAATAATTTGTAAAATTAATTTGCTATTCTTTATATGAACACACATTTGTCAATGGCAACATTTATGCAGTAGATGTATTGAGTGGAATAGTCATTTGGATTTTATTACCCTATTTATAATTTATTTTTAAATA